GAAAAAAATAAAACATCTACAATACGAACCAAAGAGAATTTGATGAATGTTTATCTTGTTTCACTAATGATACCCGAGTGAGGAAAAACACTAGGTATTTTTAAACATGTGCAACTAGTTTCAGAGTTTTTTACATAAACCTTGTAGTCGGAAAAATGAATTACCAAGTAATGGTATTTTTAAATATATTTACCTATTAATTGTAGTTTTATTAGAAACTATAAAAAAAATAATAATAAAAATAAAAAGGAACTTACACCCTTGTTTTCCTTGGTCGCGGTTTTTCTCCCTCTCCCTGAGCCTTCAACACCATCACCGGTAACTGCCATTATTATGTTATGATACGTTGAAAATTTTTATGTTATGCATATCTTCGTTTTGCCTTCAACTCAAATTATTTTCCTCTAGGTACAGGCGTTGGAACTAACTGACTTTTTTTTTGTGCAACTAAATAGATTAGCTGTTTTCTTTTGTTTTTACTTGGAGCTCAAGAACAGAACTAGAAGCATGTATGAAATGGGCTAGATACCGAACATAAGCATTCCGTTTAGAAACTTTAATGTTTTGTGATTCAGGTCAACATTATTTTTTCTAGTAGAAGAGTTTTCTGATGGGGTTTGCTATATCTATAATACTTTCATGGCATTTTCACCTTCATCGTGTGAACCTGAATTTTAAATTGCAATCGCTTATTCTGATGAATAACGGACATTCGGATCGACATGACAGATCGTTCCGACCAGTGGTGGACCTTAGTGGAGCCCCGGGGTCCCGGGCCACTGTTCCGATTCCGGCACGTAATGTAAAAAAAAAATTATGTTTTTTTTTTTTTTATGTTTCTTCTGTTAGGTACACAGGTACACAGGCTTAAAATACGAGTGTTACTACTAATTTAGTTTTATTTGGAAATTTTTTTTAGTATCACCCCTACTAAAACATTTTGTGTCCGCTACTAGTTCCTAGTTAGATGCATCCCGAGAGAACCATAGCGGTTTTAGGTACCATGGTCGGTGGATGGTTGGTTTGTCAATCCAACTAAACGAATCCCATCGGCCACATGTTTATATTGTATAATACTTCATAATTTTACGAAGAAGAAAAGAGTTTGCTTGTGACCAAGTTTCCTTGTATTTCACCATCTATAATTTTAGGCGATGAAACCAAACAAAAAAGTAGTTTATAGGAGATCAAATCGAACCAAACAAATGTCGGCGAAGTTGATTTTTATTATCTTATTTTTGGTATAAAATATGATGGGGCCGACAACCTAAATTACATGTTGGCAATTACCCGTAACACTAGTTATGTATCTGAAATATTCTTTCAATTACAAAGTATATCATTTATCTTTGCATATAATAAAAGGTTCCTATAAATTACATGTTGGCAATTACCCGTAACACTAGCTAAGTCACCAACACAAGAGCATGGTATTTTTTTCACCATTTCTTTTTTTTTTTTTTATTTAACATTAATAATCTTTAACCAAACTGACAACCAATTTGAAGAAAAAGAGAATGATGAGAGGTTCAGAACCTATTTGTGAAGCCTTTACTTGATGGTGATGATCGAAGATCTTATAAAATTAGAGGGTGGTGCCATGGTGGAGTTTTGTAGCTACAATGCTATAAAGGAGATGAAAAAAAAAAAAGAATGACATTGCATTGGGTTACAAAAAAAAATAGCAATGTATTTATGTTGATTTGTTTACCATAGCATCCTACATTTATTCTAGCATATTACAACATTATACTTACAAAAATCAACATAATTATAGTAATGTCATCCAAATACAATAAAAATCTGATTGTTATCGTTATGACTAGATAAAATTTGCAAAGTACGATGTGTTACTAAGAGAAAAACATGAAACTACAATGTTATAACTAGGTTTATTTTCAAAGTACAATATAAAGGAAACGGGATGTTGTAATAAAATAATATATGCAAGTACGTTGTTGTTTCTACCATTTAGCCCATTTGATTCTTATTGCATTCTACTTCCGTCTCTTTCTATTAGAGTGAGCCCCATAGTAGCAAATCATCAAAATATAAAGCAATCTTCGCACGCCTATTCAAATGATCAGAGAACTAACTAACCAGAGACTCCAAAGAGTGATGTAGCATCTCAGGAATTATGAAATTCATATTGCATGCATAAGCTTGAACCAATTAAGTATGGAGGATTTTCTAGCCTAAAACCCTTAATTACTAGCTTGTGTTGGAGGCAAGGCCTGAACATAGGGCGTTCATATCGTGAACGCTTAGCATTCAGAGCATGGAGTTGGATGTAGAGGCCAAGATGAACGCGGGACGTTGCAGGGAGGAACGCAACGCATTCACCGTCTGCACTCAAAAATCGTAAGTGTGCACTATTTAAACAACTTAAGACCCAACGCTCTTCAGCCTTTCAGCCTCCACTGTACCTTAAGTCTCATTTCGAAACCCTAACCCTAATTATGAGTGTGTGAGCTTGGAAGACCATCCTTAAGTGTATTTTGGTGTTCTTGATGAAGAGTGATCACCTTAGAGTCTGATTGATCAAGGAAGAGCTTTTGGATCCAGGTTCTCCATCCCATTTTCAAGTCTCAAAAGGTATAAAGTTTCTATCTTACTACCTTATAGCTTAAGATCTAGATTAGGGCTTGTTTTTGCTTCTTATGAACATATGGATTCACTTTGGGAGTTTGAGCTACTCCAGGAGCCTAGAATTGAAGATCCTCAGATTTTTGAGTTGCTAGAGTCATAAAAATGGTAACTTGATGGTGGAGGACCAACCATGCAAAGGATTTGGGTCTTGATTTATGGATTGGAAGCTTTAATGGATGTTGGTTCTTTTTGGGCTATGCAAAGGTGCCAAGTTGAGGACTTTATGGATTAAGACTCTGATAAGAAGCTATTTTGAAGATTTGAACTTTGGACTTAAAGTATTAAGACATAAATGCAATTTTTGGTCCCTGGTCGGGAACGCAGTGTGTTCATCTTTGGAACGCCATGCGTTCTAGAATCGAGTCCCGATCATCGGTTAGGCAGCGACCACCCAGCATTCCACAAGGGAACGCGCCATGTTTGGTCCAACAGTGTGCTTCTGTGGGCTTTCCACTCATTCTGACTCGATCGAATCATGAAGTACAACCTAGTACATGTAATCTGCATTAGAGACTTTACGCTCAAAATTGCTCCCCATATTCATACTCCAAGTTTTATGGGCATGTTTGTTATAAACTCATAAGCTTTGTCTAAACACCATGCACGACCTAAAAGATCTAAAACACACGCATAATGTGGATGATGTGGCACAATACCATAATCTTTCACACTATTAAATATTACACAACCTTCTTCTATAAGTCCAACATGAGTGCGTGGTGTAAGAATCCTAATGAACGTGACTTTATTTAGACTCGTACCAGCTTGGTTCATAAATGGCAAAGATTTACAGTTTCATGTGCTCTACTATGCTAAGCAGTTATCGCGGTCGAGATTTCAATACGGTCACATGCCGCTATTTGAAATCACGGTTATCGCAGTGGTATAGGCGTTTTATAATATTATGTATAATTTATATTATATATTTATACAAAATTTATATATTAGATTATTAATACTATATAGAATTAATATCATAAAAAATCATATAAAAAACAACATAATCTATATATAATATTCTAATATAGTAATATAGAAACTAAAAAGTGTCAAAATGTCATTGCAGCTCAAGTCGTTCGTGGTTTCTATGTACTGAAACAGATGAGAAAAGTGTAGTGGGCTAGTTAAAAAAATAAAAATTTATTACTGAAATAACACACAATCATTTTTTTTTCTTTGTTCGAGTAGCCCAATATGTACAAACATTGTAAAACAGGGTGTAACGTCGCTATAACGCTGACGAGATTCGCGATCAATAGCGCCGCTAATAGTGTCACCATTATTCGTAAACACTATATCAAAATAACATTTCAGTAACATCGCAAAACGAACGTTATAGCTCTGCTATAGCGCGCTATTGATAGCATAACTACTATGTAAGACATATCCAACAATCATGACACTCCAAACCACATTTTTTGGTTTTTGTTTCATTAAAACTTTCCGGGCCAAGTCTATGTTTGCACATTTTGCATACATGTGAATAAGTGTTGTGTTGACAAAACAATTGGTTTTTGTTTCATGAAAGTTTTTAATAGCAGGAGTACAAGCTGTCTGCTAGAATGTCAAGCACACTCTTTTTTTATTCATATATAATCCTTGCTCGGTCTTGTGTAATTCAACCACAATGAAATAACTTATTTGTCCTAACTCCTTGATTGTGATCATTTTCTATAAATATTCTTTTACTTCTTCGATTAACTAAAGATTAGGATTGTAATAATGTAACGTCCACGAATTCAGACTAGATGTTTTTAGGATTATAAATAACAATATTTATTTTATCGGAAATTTAAATCGTCAAATAAGTTAATCGTAAATAAATAATTAAGTATCTTTCGTACGCGATACGTGTTATATAAATGATATTTATATATTGTGTACATTTTATGGACAAATATTATGGGCTTATAATATTTGTATAAAACATTATTAAATAAATTACAATAAATAACATTTAAAATAAAATATTATCTAGGATAAATAATCTTAGCAAAATTGGTAGTGTAACACTCGGTTTCGGATTGTTTCTTTATTCATGATTGCGGTCCAACCATCATTCGTCATTAGGCTTAGGGTCTTGGAGACGAAGGAATTTCGCTCTTTCGGATGTGGGTATTATGATTTAAGTGATCCAAGTGCTTGATGGTGTCTTTGGAGGCCCAATGTATAATCTTAATTTGATAACTCGATCTTTTATGGATTGTAGGTTTGGCTCGGAGGTTTTAAGGATTGGGTGTGTTGTTAGAAGCATAGGGCTTCTCGCCACCTTTTC